TTGTAACCAGCTCTGTAGCCACTAGTTATGTGGTCAGACATAGTTTAAAGTTAGTTATATAGCTGACTTCTGTCTGACATGACACAGAGCAGAAGGAAACAGTCTGGTCATCAGGAAACTCACCTGATGAGCGCAGGTCTTGGATCAGGCTCAGGCAGGCGCTAGCTCCATAGGAGAAGATGAATTTGAAGATTAAAGCTCCACGGATGGAGGCTAAGCAGGTGAGACAGGAATGAGAATATGCTGGAGTCAGTGGAGGGACCACACACCTTCCTCATGCCAGAGACTGCACTTTTATTATTCTCTGCTCTGTTGATTTGCCTGCTCCCATGCTCTTCCCTGCCTGGCTTCTCCCTGGCTGTCATTCCAGAGGTGTGAGTGCAACACCCAGCCAACGCCTGTGAAGCGATTAAACCTCATCCTATCCCAAGTTAACATTGCCAATGGAGCAAGGGGACATCCTTAGCTTCTTTGCCTTCTTCTGTCATGTGCCTGAATGGACGTGCCTGGAACAAGCCAGTGAAGGACAGGGAGCACAAGACCCTGGGTCCAGCTCACCCTTGGAACAAGTTACTGCTGAAAGGTTCCCCTCACTGCAGTTAGATGTCTAGTTGCGTGTTGTCTCAGCTTAAGTTACAGTCCTTCCTTTACAGTCACTGAAGGAAAATGCCTCTCCAGAGCATGAGTAAATTCCTGCCTAACAGCCAGGACTCACCCTCTGAAGCTGCTCTTTGTCTTCCTTGACTATGAAGGAAGCTTGGGAACCACCTGGATTTATCACAGCAGTTAGGAAAATGAATCCCACTTTCAGTGATCTATTGGGGGTGGAGGTAGATGTTCTTCAGATGATTTTGATGATCTATTGGGGGTTAGGCAGCTGAGGGAACCCTCCCCGAATGAGCTGTAGCTTAAGGATTTGTAGCAAAGGACTTGGGAGGGTGTATTTTCATTGAAAGTGTATGAATATCCCAGTAATTTAACCCAGCCTTGCCTCCCTGTTCGTACAGAAGAAGGCAATAGGCAAGTGTAACGGAGGCCCACCTGCCTATTTCTGATGAATAATCCAAATCCCCTTTCCCTGTTTAAAGTTTCATCAGATTGAGGTAAATGAGCCCTTCCCAGGGTCAGAGCACCTTTTCTGGGGACTCTTTGGGGTCACAAAAGCCAACCCACACCATCTGCCAACTTTGAGACACAGTGACCCACAGCAATGTCTGGCCGGAGAGTGAAGAGGTTCAGCACATACTAATGGTCCCTTTGATATGCTGCTGCTTGGTGTTTGGCTCCTCCCCGATCGCACAGGTGCCCAGCAGCTGAAGTGGAAATCGAATAGTGGTAGAGCCCTTGGCCTTGTGGTGGAATATTATCTAGAGGAACAGAAAAAGAAATCTTCCAGGATGCGTGTTGTGAGTACGGTTGCTTGTGGAAGGAGAGGGCAATGCTCAGAGGACTTGCCAACAGCACTGGAGGTGGTGCCCTCACAGTTAGACAGTTCAGGATGGTACCAACTATCATGCCCTCCTGCTGCACTTGGCTCCCTTCTCCAGGGCTCACACTGACTACTAGATCCCTGATTCAAACTGCCCTGTCACCGTTGAAAGAAATCAAAAAATGGGAGGTGGGGATGGTGATTCCACAGCTGCTGTCTGATACCACGCGCTGACCTT